ATAGCATCTTCTAGGGCTAAGTCGCGGCGGCCTGTTGTGGAAAACAGTACTTTCCGCTGTGGCTGCAGTTTAGTGGGAGTGAAGGCGAGTGTGCAGCCTGGATCGCCCACCGCTGCTGCCAGTACCCCAATGTCTGCCACCCCTGTGCCCCGGGCCGCCCAGCACGTCCCTCTGCAGAGCTCCGCGTTACGCGTTTTCTGATTGGCTGCTCGCCCTGGCAGGCACTTTCTGATTGTCCAGCGTGCTTATCAGTTGCCATCTCCCCGCCTCCTGAAGCAATCTCTAGGTTACCACCCACCGAGGTCTGAATAGGCTGCTTCTGCGCAAATCTGGAGTTAAACGGAGGCAGAAGTGTGGCCAGGGCTGGCGCCCGACTGCGCGAGCACCTGCACCCACCCACTCCCAACAGCCCAGCTCCAGTGCCACAATTAGCAGCAGCAAACAGCAATGTGAGGCGGGGAGGGGGGTGGCTGAGCTGGGGTGGGAGCAAAGAGAAACTGGAGTCAGCATCTGCCCGGAGGAGCCCCCGCAAACAAACCCAGACACATTCGTTTAGCATTTGTTCATTCATTCAACATTTATTAGCGTCTACTGTATACTAGAACTAGGTCTGGGCATCTGAGGTGGAGGAGGGCTGAGACAGATGCTTTTAGCATTTGGTCATTCATTCAACATTTATTAACGCCTACTGTACACTAAGGAACCCTGGTGGCGAAGTGATTAAGAGCTCAGCTGCTAACCAAAAGGTCAGCAGTTCCAATCCACCAGCCGCTCCTTGGAAACCCTATAGGGCAGTTCTTCTCTGTCCTATAGGGTCGCTATGAGTTGCAATCAACTCCACGGCAACGGTTTTTGTTTTTGTTTTTTTAAACGGGTTTACAAAAGCCAGGGCTGAATATCTTGAGGGTGGGGAGGTAAAGGAGAAACGTCTGAGCTATACCTGTCTCCACAGGTAGGGAACAGACTCAGAATTTATTAGCGTGTACCGTATAGTAGCAACAGTGCTGGATGTCATGAAAGATACGAAAGAAGAGGAGTCAGAGCAGTACCTGTCTCCACCATGAGGGAAAAAAAAACCCAGACACCAATGATTTTAGCATTTGCTCATTCATTTAGCATTCATTAGCACTTAACTGAATGTTGGGCCCCTGGTGATGAGACAAATCTTAAATATAATGATTACGGTAATAGCTAACACTTAGTACTCACTGTGTGCCTGGTGATATTTTAAGGCATTTCATATCATGAACTCATTTAATCCTCACAACAAACCTATGAAGGTCAGTATTATTATCCCCACTTTACAAAGGAGGAAACAGGCACAGAAAGGTAGTGGCTGGACATTTCTGAAGCACTATGAATTGTGGTGAGGTCTTGAATGTCAGGAGCAGAGTTTAGGACTTTGTGCTTTGAGGACGAAGTCAATGAAGACTGGGCCAAAATAAGGAGTTTTGATTGCTACTACAGGGCACAAGAGAGTTGTGTGTGTTTACAGAAAAGTGGAAGTTTGGCTGTGTGCATAATGAAGTGCACGTCTTTGTGGATGTGTGATATGCAGGCCTATGAGTCTGTGCAAGAATTAAAGATGTAGAGTGTATGTGGCGTAAGTATGAGGTTACAACTGTGCGTGCCATAACGTGTGAGTTACAGGTGTGTGTGTGTGCATGTGCATTAAGGTGTCTACATGTGTGTATGTGTGATGTGGGTATACAGGTGTGTGAATTCAGGGTGTCTTGAATGCATATGGTGTTTATGTGGGTTACAATGGTGTGTGGAGGCATAGCAGTGTTTTTTGTGTGAATGTCTTGCATGTGTGTATGAGTGTTGTGTGTTATGTTGTAATCATGTGTGATGTGAATACACGAGTGTGTGCAAATTAAGGATGTACTGAGTACATAGGATGTGGAAGATTGTGTCTATGGTTTATAATTGAGTTTGTGTGTGTTGTATAAACGTGTATTAGAGATGTATGTGTTTGTACTTTATGTGTAGGGGACAGCCTTTGAGTATGTGTGGTTTGTAACTTAAAGGTGTATGTGAGTAAGTATGTGTATTATGATGTGTGCACAAGTGTGCTAGGTAGAGGGCATGTATGAACTAAAACTATATTGAGTATATATGGTGAGGGACTTACAACTGTGTGGGGGTTAAAACAGTGTGAATTATGAGAGAATGTGTGAAAGTGTGAATGTGTCATCTGTATCATGAGGGTGTTCATTATGGCTGTGCAAGTGATCAGGGTTCTAGATAATGGCATAGATATGTATGTATGTGAGTTATAATCTTGGATATAGTACTGAATATGAACATATGTCAGAGGTGTGTGTTTCAGAGTTGTTGGTCACTGATGCACAGCAAAGAAATTATTCTTGAAGTCCCCTCTGTACACCCGTTCCTGCTGGAGAAGAGGAAGACAGTGCACTGTCATCTTACCTCTGCCTCAGGGAGTTAAGACATTCCTGGGGAGCATCTTCATTCCTCTACAAAACAATCTATGAAAAATTAACTTCTGAAGGTTGAGCCACTTGGAGAAAGGGGATGGCCCTGGGGCCATAAGTACTGGGAATGGGTCCCTTGGGAAGAGGCACAGTCTGGAGACAGATTCCTGAGGAGCCCAAAGTTGGGCCTAGAGGAGCCTGGAAGACCTGCAGAACCTGCAGCTGCTCCTGTCCCCAGAGAAGTCACCATGGCTCCAAAACAGCTTGTTTTCTTCAGTTACTGAGCAAAAAACTGGGGAGCACATATTTCAAAACATTGGAAAATGCCCAAATTCATGGGGAGTTCCCCATCTGGGGAATACTGGGATTTAGAATGCCAGAGAGGGCATCCTGGAGGGAGGGGGAAGGAATAGTCAAACCAAAGACCTGGAAGTGGGACTGGAGCTGGCTGGGATAGAGGAGGTATGTGGACGATGGTTTGGGAAGTGTTTGATATAGGGTCTGTGGTAGCCTAGGGGAAGAAGGATGGAATCTGAGGGTAGGGGGTTTCCTGGACACTGTGGCCAAAAGTAGCCCTTGAGAGAGGGAGGAAAAGGGCATTCCTGGGCACAGCACATGCAAAGGCACAGAGGCAACCCCTTCCCTCCTCTCCTTGGAGGTGGGTCAGATGATCATCCACTTTTTACAGATGAGGAAATCAAGTCTCAGAGGAGGCAAGTCACTTTCCCAAGGATATGGTGGAGGCCTGATTTGAACCCAGGCACTCTGCCTCCAGACACCCACATTATTACTGCCTTGTTTAAATGGGCCAATGATTTAATGAATGAAAAATGAACAAGTGAGTAAGTGGATGATTCACCTGAAAATCCTGCAGGCAAAAGAGACCCCAAATCTGCCTACTTCTCGCCGTGTCTTCTGCCACTTCATCTGGTCTACCACCATTGCTCACTATGGCCCACAAGGCCATACCTAATCTGGCCCCTGTTAACCTCTCTGACTTCATCTCCTATAATAATCACTTTTTTGCAGTCACGCTGGCACTGGCTGTTCCCTCTTCCTAGCATGTTTTTAAAAGAAAAAAAAATCTGTATGAATCACAAAGTGAATATGCTCTTTTGGAAATACATTTGAGCTCTCAGTTTCCCTCATCTGTAAAATGGAAATTATATTATTACCCACTCTGTAAGATTGTTGTGAGGGTTGAGTAAGACAATGCATGTAAACAGCTTAGTCTGGTGTTGGGTGCAATCATTTAATAAATGATTATTTTGAAACGAATATGTGCTTTCGTTGTAGTCAGGGTCTTGTGGGAGCTGACAGGATGGCTTCCACAACTCACCTCTGTTCCGACTATAAAGGTCGTTTGCTCATTCGGCAAATATTAATTGCCACCTACTGTGTGCATGCCCTAGGCTCGGTCAGCCTCTGTGGGAAGTTCTTGGGTGCAGGGGGAGACAGCCATGTGGATTGACGAAATTGGATGGTTAGCATGGTCTTTGGCTGTCTTCAAGGCAGAGGGATGGGGGCATATGGACCAAATGTGTGTGTGTGGTGGGGGCGGGGGGGGTGACAATCATCAGGACTAGAGCTGCAGAGAGTAGGTTTGTGTTACAGATCTAGCTGTGTCTGTGATTGTTATTCTGTGAGTGTGTGTTTTACCTGGGTTTGCATACTCTTGTGAGTTTCCCTGTGTCTGTGTGGTGCCTGTGTGTGTATGCACGCAAGCCCAGGTGTGTTACCCTGGGCTTGTGTGTGTCTGTGTATATACCTGTATCTGGGTGTGTTCTCTGTACATGCCCCTGTGTGTTTCCTTACATTTGTGTGTGTGTCTGTGTACCTCCGTGTGTGTTATTCCCTGTGTGCCTCCAGAGCCCCCTCCATCCACGGCAAGGGTGTGTACCCTGCCCAAATGTCCACTTCCGGATGTCTGATGCTGCCTACGCCACCCCTGCACCCTTCTCTCTGCCTGGCTGAGCCTGTGAGGACGTGGGAGACTGATCTCCCCGCGGAGCACTGTGTATATGACCCCACATCTCACCGTGAGGGGGTTATTTCTCAACTTTTGTGTCTCCGATGTGCCCTCCACCCCCTCCCCCAAATGCCTTTTGCAGTATCAACACTGGAAACTGAGTATCTGCAGAGTCCTGCGTGACTGAGTAGGTGTGAGGACCAGGATGAGGCGGGGTGGGGGACCCACCTGACCACCGGCCACGACCCTCCGGGAAAAAACACCTACCCTGCCTCCACTCCCCAAATTGCGCATCCCCAATCGGAGAGGGGGGAGGGGAAACAGGATGCGGAGCTACGCTTGCGCACTGCTGCCTTCAGCACCACGGACAGCACCTTCGCCCCCGCCTGTCGGCGCGCTCCACAGCGGCCCCAACACTGAAGGCGCACTGACGTCAGTCGCCTTTCCTCCGCAAACTCCCCTTCTCGGCCGCCTTGGTCGCGTCCGCGCCGCCACCGGCCCAGCCGGACTGCACCACACGGCGCGCGAGATAGGGAGGCACGGGCGCGACCATCCGCGCTGCGGCGGCATCGACTCAGCGCTGCCTCAGTCTGCGGCGGGCACCGGAGGAGTCACATCGTTCCGGAGAGCGCGGCTGTGCCCCTGGGCCCCGAGCGGTCCGCCCCCGCGGCTCCTGGTCAGACTGCCCGCAGGATCCCCTGCCCAGCGCCGCAGCCATGAACTACCTGCGGCGCCGCCTGTCGGACAGCAACTTCATGGCTAATCTGCCAAATGGGTACATGACAGACCTGCAGCGCCCGCAGCCGCCCCCGCCGCCGCCCGCTGCCCCCAGCCCCGGGGTCACGCCCGGTCCCGCGTCCGCCACTGCCGAGAGGGCTTCCTCAGCCGCCCCTGTGGCCCCTCCAGCCGCCCCTAGCCCCGGGTCCTCGGGGGGCGGCGGCTTCTTCTCGTCGCTGTCCAACGCGGTCAAGCAGACCACTGCGGCCGCTGCCGCCACCTTCAGCGAGCAGGTGGGCGGCGGCTCTGGGAGCGCAGGCCGCGGGGGCGCCGCCGCTAGGGTGCTGCTGGTCATCGACGAGCCGCACACCGACTGGTAAGCCACTGCCGCAGACGTCTCCCCATGGACGTGTGTCCCCAGATCGTCCCGCGTCGAGCAATTATAAAGCACCACTTGTGTGCCCGGCACCTGGCCCCCTCCCTCAAATCCTTTTCCTTTAAATATTATGCTGGGCTCTTCCTGTGTGCCCTGCTCTAGTACCCCCACCCTAAGGCCTTCTCAATGGATACAGGCAGCAGTTATCCAGTGCCTGCTGTGTACCTCTTCCCCAATCCTACTCCCCCAAAAGCTTTTAGCTTTAATAAGTCCCGTGAGCATTTGAGAACTTAATATGTGCCCTGGCCCCCCGCTTTCGCCCCAAAGGCCTTGTCATCTGATGGATCTTGTGAGCATTTAGAGTACCTGAAGTGTGCCTCATCGAGGAGCCTTTCCCCAAGACCTTTGGCTTCGATTAATTTTTTGAGTATTTATTGAGAGCCTGATATGTGTCCTGTCTCCCACAACCCTTGCCCTAAGGCCTTCTCTCTAATGGATCTCGTGAGCCTGTATCCAGTCTGTGCTATGTGTCTCACCCCCAAGCCCCTCCTCAAAGGCCTTTTAAACTATTATTGAATACCAGCTATTTATTGGTTAAATCACCTCTACTCCCAGAAGCCCTTCCCTCTGTTCAAAGCCACTTATTCATTCCACAAATACTTATTGCGTACTTTCTATGTGTCAGAGTGTGGGAAGCATTTGCTAAGCGCTGCTATATACCTGGAAGAACTCTCCTTCAGCTCCCCGTCCCTCTAATCTCAGCCACCGTCTCGCATGCCTATACCTTTTCCTCTGTTCAATCCCACAATCATTTATTGAGCACTAATTGTATACTAAAAACCCCACATTCAAAGCCTCTTCTCCTCCCCGTCTTGTAGCCCTAATTCCCCCTTCAACAGTCTCCACCCTGCCTTTCAGACTACACAATCCTGACTTTAGTAGCCATCTCCCCAACTTCCCTTTTCCCCCAATTAATCCAGAAAGCATTTATTAATCTCCTACTTTATGCTGTTCAGGACTCCCTGGGTGGCACAAATGGTTAACATGCTCGGCTGCTAACTGAAAGGTTGGCGACCCGAGTCAATGCAGATGCACCTCAGAAGAAAGGCCTAGAGAACTACTTCTGAAAAATCAGCCATTGAAAATCCTATGGAGCACAGTTCTACTCTGACGCACATGGGATTGCCATGAGTCAGAATCAACTCGACGGCAACTGGTATGCTGTTCAAAGAACCACATTCTAATTCCTGCAGTAGGATCCTCCACTCTTTACTCCATCAATCTATAAAGCACTTATTGAGCATTGCTATAATTTCTTCACCAACACCCACTCACACAGGTGCTATCTTCTTGGTTAAATTTGCTCCATTGAAGTCAGCAAACCTTAATGAGATACCTGCCGTATATTGGTAACCACCCTCCTTTAGACCTCCCTTTTCCACTCCCCACTTCCAGGCAGTCTTTTTCTGCTTTTTCCTTCATTCCATCGGGCACTTATTAATTAACCTACTAAATACTGATAAGTCTCTGTCCCTTTCCCATAATTGCAACTCCAGTGTTTTTTTTATTCTTCTAATCTGTCCAACAAACATTTATTGGGCACCTGCTAATTTCAGGTCACTGTAATATAGGGTCACTATGAGTTGGAATTGACTCGATGGCAACGGGTTTTTTTTTTTTTTTTGCTAATTTCAGTGAAAGATCTTTCCTTCTCCTTCTGCACCCCAGAAGCCTCCTTTTATCCCAGCAGCACCTCCAGTCTTTTCTTCCAGTCAATCTAGCAAATATTTATTTAGTGCCTACTATATGTGAGGTGGATTAGACAAAGGGAGAGAGCCTATGTACACTAGGCCACTAGTATGGGCAACAGAGACCTCTGCATCATCAACTTGCAGACTTTCAGAACCATGAAAGCTTTAGGGATTTCAGTCTGGAGTAAAGGAAAGGTTGTACAAACTCCGTAATAGAGTGAATGCCTAAGTACAGTCTGATGCCTTTCCCACCAAACCTCACCACTCTGATTCCTTTCCAGTTGAGGTGGGGTGGCCAGGCTTTTGTAGTCCTGCATCAGTCAGTCACTGGCTGTAGGCTGCCCCCTTGGAGAAGGAGTAATCTTGGGTGAGGCAAATTCCAAATCCCTGCAGAGGACAATTCCTAGTGATGGACACAACTGTGGGCCTTCAGCAACAGATATTCCCAGAAACTGAGGGATGATATGAATACCTGAAGGAGAGGGGGAGGTTAGAATCTGTGTAGAGCACACAGTCCACCACTTGTACTGCTTAGATCCACTTGCTTCTTATGGGAAGTTCACCCCATCTGGGAACAGCATTTCCAGGATTCTTACTGCCGTTGTTTTCTGGGGGAAACTTAAAAGAGCAAGGTTAGTGGGACAAACTATAGCCTCTGCTACTGCAGTTGATTTCAAGGTCATAAATATTCACTATCTCTTTCCTTTACTATACATTCTAGATTCCCTTCACCCTCAGCTAGCACCTTTGTTGATCTCAGTGACTTACCTGTTGAGTGATCCATTGTCTCATCCTTGAAAGGTCTGAGACCCTGGTCACTATGCCATTCTCAGGCTGTGGCTGCTGCACTAGTCTATTTACCATCAAAGTTGAACAGAGAGTACCAAGAGATGTTAAAATGGACCACCTTGGTGCCAAGCATATTCCTCCTTGCTCCCACTGTGTAGCAGTAGCCCTACCTCCTCTTAATGATCAGGGTCAAGTAACCCTTCCAAGACACTGACTCCTCTTCATGTCCCTTGGCATGAGAAACCTGACTTGCCCAGGTATCGGCCATAGCTTATGGTTTAATGGGTTTCTTGCCACGTCCTCTAGTAGCAGTGTTCCCCTTTGGAGAACCAGAACCTCTAACCCCGCAGAACTCTGAGCAAACAGGAAGCACAAATTCTAGAAGTGGATCACCGAGAATGATGATAAGCTTGGCCACTCCTCCTTTAACTGCTGAGTTCCCAGACCCATGTATTCTACCTATTAGGAACACAGCACATACAGTGGTTGTTGATTTAGGGTGTACACTGTGTTTTGGAGGATGGTGCCCATTCTTTCATGGTATCACCTCCAAGATGAGGTCTTAGCTGTAGTTTCAACAAGTTTTACCATCACTCTATCAGGACAGCAGCTTCTGGTTGGTGTGCTATGTGATGTAATCAGTGGATCCCATGGTCATGGACCCACTTTTGCACCTCCTTTGCTGTAAAGTGTGTCCTTTGGTCTGATTTAATGTTACGTAGAATCCCATGCTCATGGAGCAAGCACTCTGTAAGCCCTTGGACAGTGATGCTGGCTAAGGTCCTTCAGTCAGGAAAGGCAAACTCATATATGGAGTAGTCCAGTCAAAATGAATCACTACTCTTTCCAGGGTGGAAGTGGCCCAATGGCAAGACCATAAAGTCAGTTTGTTACCAAGTTTATCTCTTTGAGAGATGGTGCTGTATCAGGGATTCAGTGTTGGTCTCTGTTACTGACAGATTAGACATTTAGCAATAATGCTCTTGGCCACACACATAGCCTCTATCTCTGCTGCTATTGCCACTTCATTCATGTGCCCATGTGCTATCACTGGGTGGCTGATTATAAAGGCTGACTCACATTATCTGGCTGACTCATTCATTCTACCTGTTTGCATAGTGCCACTTTCATGGTGGATGCTATCTGATGTGTGTTAAAATGCAATACAAAGATCTCCACTCCTCACTTTTTGCCAACTCCAATATGTCCACTCACATTCCTGTATCCCAGACCTCCTTGTCCTAATCTTCCAATACTTTTTTCTTCCAGGGCTATGACCAACCAGCCAAGCTATTCACCACTGCTCATAAGTGAATATATATTCTAATTTTGGGCCACTTCTCTTTCCATGCAAAGTGGATAACCAGGTACACAGCTCAAAGCTCTGCATGTTGGGAGCTCTGCCACCGTCTTTCAAGGTCACTCCAAGTAGAGCTATAGGGCAGCCAATATCCATTTTTGGCTTCTACCCAGACGAAGTCAACCGATTTGTGAACAAAGCTTGAGTTGTTTCCTCCTTCATTAGCTGGTTGTAAGGGATCCCCTTAATGAGCGGAGGGAGAGGCACTAGCGCAACAATTGTGGACTACATGGAGATCTGGGTTAACTGCTCATGCAACTTGCTTGGTACTACTTGGGCTTGATCCTGGCAGCTGCGCCTGTCCAACTTTATTACTTGGTGAGTCTGGCAGGACCCAGCTGATAATGGACAGTTTTGGATGCATAGTCACTTGGTGCCTTATGATCAAGCATTTTGTCTCTACCAGGGACCAGTACTGCACCAGGATTTGTTTCTCAAAAGGCATATAATTCTATGCTGCAGATGGCATGGCCTTGCTCCAGAACTTCAGGGCCTCCCACTTGGGCTTCTCATAAGCTCCACACTGCATCTTTCCAATTACTAACACCTCGAATATCATAGGATCTGCCAGATCACGTGGCCCAAGCGGCAGGGATGCTTGCACTGGAGCCTGAACCTGCTGCAGAATCCTTTTCTGCTCTGGCCCCCACTCAGAGCTGGCAGCCTTACATGTCACCTGGTATATGGATCTGAACAGTATTTGCAAGTGTGGAATATGCTGCCTTCAGAACCTGAGGAGGTCTACCAGTGGTTGTACTTTTTTCTTCGTGGTGGGGGGTTCGAGATGCAATAATTTGCCCTATACTTTCAAAGGACTATCTTGCCATACCCTGGACCACTAGATCCCTAAAAATTTTACAAATGTGGCAGGTTACTGAGTCTTCATAGGGCTTATCTCCCACCCTTATGTGTTTTACCAAGGCAATGTGCTGACCATCTCTTGTTCATCTTGCCCAATCAGTATGATGTGAACAATATAGTGGTCTAGTGTGATATTCTGTGAGATGTCCAGATGCTCCAGGTCCCTTTGGACTATATTATGGCACAGGACTACGGAGTTAACATAACCCTATGGCAAGACCGTAAAGGAATATTGTTGTCAGTCCCACATGAGTGTGAACTGGTTCTGATTCTCTTTTCTACTCAGAAGAGAAAAGAATGCATTCGCCAAATCAGTGGCCGAATACCATGTACCAGAGATCTTACTAATCTGCTGTAACATGTCCAGTACTGCAGCTACATTCATTACATTCAGGGATACTATTTGGTTGCGCTTACGATAATCTACAGTCACTCTACAGAATACATCCAGTCTCCTTAGGGGCTAAACTGATTAATTCAATGGAAATATGATGGGACCAATGCCCCTGCACCCTCTAAATCTTTAAGAGTAGCAGTAACATCCACAATCACCTCTAGTATACAATATTGCTTTTTATTTACTGTTTTGATCACGAGGGGAGGGCAGTTTCCGAGCCTTCCATTTGGTCTTCACCACTACAATAGCTCTTACCCCACAGACCAAAGGGTTCTGACAATTACAAATTATGCCCATTCCAATTATACATTTGTTAACTAGGGAAGTAACTACTGGGTAGATCTATGGACCCAGTGGACCCACTGTGAGCAGGACTTGGGCCAGGACTTCATTTATTACATTACCCCTTCTGTGTTTCTCAGCATTGCTGGTGCCACTCTTACCAGCATATTCCTTATTGGTTTGTTGTGTATATCCTCTGAGCCCTCTCTTAGAACATAGCTGGTGGGTTTTCCAGACTTCAATAGTATATCTACTTTAGCATGTCTGTTTCTCCAAGTCCTTTTATCTTTTCCTCCACATTCTGCCATGGAAGCTTTGGCATTTCTGCTTCGTGTAGGGTGGGCCATTGTTTTTTCCAAGCTTTCAAGAGTCATCTTAGCAGTGTGTTAACACCATCTCCTAGGATCCTTGCCAAGGTGTTTATTTCTGTATCCTGGGGGAGTGTTCCAACTTTATGTTCTACCCCCTGGATCCACTGTCCTCAGGATTCAGTCCCACGCATACTTTCCCAGCTCCTGCCAGTACATATTAGCCAGATTCTTCAGCTTCTACATATAGTTCCTCTCCTTCCTTTGCAAGCCTAGAACCTCTCCAGTCAGGTATGTTGGATTTGACCCTAGTTGCCAAGAGAGGAGGTGGGTTTTGATTCTGAGAGGGGCAAGCATCATTTTATAAGGCACCTGCTTCATTTGAGGCTTCTGCATTATCTTCAAGCAGAGGGAAGCTCTATATTCTAACAATGGAGAGTGGGCTATTAGTGTAGGCCCAGTGGGATCAGGTGAATCTTTAAGTTCAAGATTTTTAACTGCCTATTCCAAGATATCCCCATCCCAAGTCTCAGGGTCTCATTCCTTCCCTGTGAGGCCCTGAACATGGCATAGAATATGTGCTAGGCCTGATAACTGAAACTTCTCTGAAGCTCTGCTACATTTACAATTAAGACCTTAGCCTGGTCTTCCCTTCTCTCTGTCCTCTGGCTGCTAGAGATTAGGGCCTCCTTCAGTGCAGCCCAGGGAGACCCTCTGGTTTTCACATTTTCCCTTGAATGGATGATTATTCACCCTAAGCAGGTCATAGTATTCTTCAGCTAATCAATGGCATTTAGCCAATAGTCACCGAAGTCTGATTAACGTTTCCCTGATACCTCTTAAGTGCCAGGGATATTTCACCAGCCAGTGCATTCCCTTCCACTGGTATCCCATTACAGTCCACCATCAGTTAAAGACACTACTGCTGCAGGGGCCTACGTTGTGATTCTCCCACTTGGGCTTCTCTTAAACTCCACACTGCATCTTTTCCTACTACTGACACCTCCAGTATCATAAGATCTGCCAGATCATATGGCCCAAGGGGCAGGGCTGCTATGCCACAGCCTGGAACTGCTGCAGAGCCCTTTGCATTGCTACAACATTCCAGGGCCTATCTGTGCTACACCTCCCACCAGTGATGTGATGGAACCTCATTGACAGCTGACTGCTGGATGATCCAGCTCCAGAATTGCTTTAGAATCTGCTTTGTAGTTTCACTTCTCTTGCCCACTGTTTTGGTTTGAGTTCCCTGGAAACACTTTGAGGCAGAGATACACATGCAGGAGGAGTATTGGGATCAACACCTTTGGGATCAACACCTATAAGAAGGGTAGGATTGAGCAGAGAAAGGATCTGACCCACAATGAGGTTGCATCGGAGGCCTCAGATGATCCTAGGGGGAGCTCTGGAATTGTGAGGGCCCTTCAGAGTCAGCCCCTATTAAGGCAAGAAGGCTAGCCTTTGTATCCTCTCATAGACCAGATATAGGCCATGTGTTACGCTCAGAAAGTAAGTGTAACTTTGACCAAGTCAATTCCTTGTGACAGAAGACAAGTCCTGGTGGGGACACAGCTATGAGCTGTTAACAGCTGATATTCCCAGCAGCTGGGGGATGTATGCATTGGCCCTGAAGAGGAAACCACAAGTATCCACTACACTTGTGGTCAAAAAAGTTTGAAAAACAGTGATATATTCTGAACTCATCATCATTTATATAGATGAAAAATGTGCAGATCTGAGAGAAATTCTTTTTTGACACTTGTGAGGTGACAGTGTCAGTGATGTTGTGTGTGTGAGAGAGAGAGAATGAATAGGTGTGTTTGGGATCTTTTGTGTGTGTCAGTGATGTCAGTAGGGCCCATTTGTGCTGTGTGTATGTGTCATAGACTCTGTGTTCACATCAGTGACCCTGACAGTGTCTCCTCCCCTCACCCCCCCTTCCATGAGAAACCTGACTGGGCATGAGGCTTTCTGTGGAGAGGCCTGTCAAGAAGAAATCCTGGGCCTGGGGGAGGAGGCCACCAGAAACAGCCTAGCTGTGGATGGGCCCAGGGACAGTGACATACATAGCAGTTTGTGATGTGCCTACTGCTGCTCTTACTCCCTTTCTCTTCTCTGGTGTTCCCTTGTCCTCAGCTGCATTCCCTCCCTGGCCCCCATCAGTGCTGGCTACCTTCAATCTATTTCTCCTTTTCTGATACTGCTGCCCACCTATGACTGTTGTGTCCCTCACAGCACACAACCACATGTAGAGAATGCACACAAGCAGACACAGGCACTATGACCTTCACAGACACTGAAATACACACAAACAGGCACACTTCCTTCATATATATGTATTTTACAAGTTCTCTGACTTTTAAAAACCTGCATGCAATTTCAAATTATGTTACAGTTCGCAAAGCACTATTCATTTTGTGAAGCTTTTCAACATTTACAATAGCAATGTGACTAGCAGACCATACTTTGGGAAATGCCTGCTCTCTGTGGTTTAAGGAAACATATTACAGTTTGCAGTGCCCCTTGACATTTACACACCTCCATGTGAATTACAACAGACTTTATTGTTTACAAAGCACTATTGATTTTTCAAAATATTTCAGCAATTATAAAGCAATTTACAGTTTCTGTAGTGGCACTGAGGGGCAAATGCTGGGGATCAAGGGACCATCTTTCCTTGTATTTGAGTATTGACAGATGTGCTGTGCTTTTCATCTCCAGGGCGAAATACTTCAAAGGAAAAAAGATTCATGGAGAAATTGACATTAAAGTAGAACAGGTTAGTTGGGGCAGGTGGACCTGGGAGTCAACTGTCCAGACTGTAAACTGGGTGGTCATTTTTGTGTGATGTGGGGGAACCACTGATTTTGTCCCCTTCCCAGGCTGAATTCTCTGATCTCAACCTCGTGGCTCATGCCAATGGTGGATTCTCTGTGGACATGGAAGTTCTTCGGAATGGGGTGAAGGTCGTGCGGTGAGTATAAAACGGGTACCTTGGTATTATGGGAGAGGCATAAGGACTCCCTTAAAGCTGAGGGAATCTCCCCTCCCATCCATCTGTGAGCAAGAACTTAGACACAGAAGGTAGGGAGGTAGCTTTTTTTCTGAAGAAAAACCAAGGATCCAAGCAGACCACAAGCCAAATTTTTCATTTATTAATTCAACAGACATTTGTTGAGCATCAATTGCATGGCAGGTGCTGCTCTCAGCATTTTGCAATCAACAAATGTTTAATGAGCACCTACTGTGTGCAAGATGCTGAGGACCTAACAATGAACAAAAAAGACCAAAAAAAAATTAAATAGTGTAAAAGTGCTAATAAAAAATATATATAGTGGTAAAGGGATGTAGGGATAGTTGAGTGGTGATGGGGTCTACAATTTGGATAGGGTGGTCCAATAGTGTGGGAGACATTAGAGTAAAGATATGAAGGAGGTGAAGGAGTGATCCATTCAGATATCTAGAGGGGATAATGTTCCAGGCAGAGGGAACTGTCAGCATAGAGGCCCTGAGGCTGAAATTTATTCTGGGTGGCACACTTTGAGGACAGGTGGTGGTCTGAGAGATTGTGACCAGGGAGCTGTCAAAGCTGACCTTGGTGAGGAGAGGAGCAGGTAGAAAAGGCTTAAGGGGATCACCAGATGGGGAAAGGGTAGAAAGGGTCCTCGAGACAGAGGGAAGAGCTTGTGAATGTGTGCAGAGGAAATAAACCACTTTGCAATTTCTGGGAACTGTGGAGATTTAGAAACTTGGTTTTTGTTCCAAGGGTGGTGGGGAACTTCTAGAGGCACCCCCAACACTCCTACCCTTGCCACCCCAGGTCTCTGAAGCCAGACTTTGTGCTGATCCGCCAGCATGCCTTCAGCATGGCAAGGAATGGAGACTACCGCAGTTTGGTCATTGGGCTGCAGTATGCCGGAATCCCCAGTGTTAACTCTTTACATTCCGTCTACAACTTCTGTGACAAGCCCTGGGTGGTAAGTGATGGAGAGGGTGCTACTGGCAAAAGGAAGAGCTCATGTATGCATGTGGGAGCCTAAAACCACTGTGATTTTTGAGAACTGAGGAAGTTTAGAAATTGGAAGTCCGAGCATAGAGACTCCCTCCAGGTGAAGGTCTTGCTGACCCATTTCTCCTGGCTCTCGTAGTTTGCCCAGATGGTTCGACTGCACAAGAAACTGGGGACAGAGGAATTCCCCCTAATCGATCAGACCTTCTACCCCAATCATAAAGAAATGGTAAGTCTGGGGAAAATAGAGTGGGCAGGAGGGAAAAACATTGTAACTTCTGCAGTGATATTACCAATGACTGTGTTGTCAATGGAATGATATCAGAGAGTGCAGCTGGTGCGTGCATGTGGAGGTATGACACTGCTTTGTGATAGGGTTTATCAATACCATGATTTTATTAGTGGTTACAAGTGCGAATTAAATCATTAATACCAATAGTTATCTGATCTTGTTACTCTTACTACCTATTCTCACCAGTATTAAAAATTGATTTCAAATGTAAATTAACAGAACTAATATAATGAATCAAATAGAAATTGAGTAATTGTTGCTAACATTATCAAATATTGCTCCTGATAGAAATTTTTACCAATATTTCAAATTAGAATTGCCAATAAAAATTATCAGTAGCAATGCTATAAATTAAATTATGTTTACAAATAGAAATTGACTTATTGGTTACTATTATCATAAAGGACCCCTGGTGGCACAGTGGTTAAGAGTTTGGCTGCTAACCAAAAGGTCAGCAGTTCGAAATCCACCAGCCACTCCTTGGAAATCCTATGGGACAGTTCTACTCTGTCCTATAGGGTTGCTATGAGTCGGAATCGACTCGCTGGCAACGGGTTTGGTTTTTGGTATTATCGTAAATATAAGCCCTAATATTATAAATTGTCACCAGTACAGGCAGTTCCCTGGGTTATGAACGTCCAACCTACATACAACCTGTAGTTATGAACCAACCCCCATAAAGCCTATTATGTTAAAAATTCGAGGTACATACAGTGGTTTGTAATAACAAACGGGTACTACTTTGTGACACACATCAAAACATTATTATTATTATTACTATATTATTATGTTGAAGATGTTTTAGTGTATCTGGAAGTGTTTCTTTAATGATTTTATGCATAAAAAGGTACACTATGTACTATATACTAAGATAAACATTTGACTAACTGATGTTAAATACAAACTGTACCTGACTGTTCCAATTTATGTACAAATGCAACTTAAAGACAGCTTTAGGAACAGAACTCATTTGTAATCCGAGGACTGCCCATGCTACAAATTATGGTTACTGATGTCAATTTCAAGTATCAATGTTAGGAATTAAATTATAATTCCTAATAGAAATTGGATGATCATAAAGATTGTAAGTATTATTACAAAGTATTATCAGTATTACAAATTATGCTCTAATATAAATTATAAGCATCTATGTTTTGAATTATACTTAATAATAGAAATTTTATTGTTATTACTAATATTAAATATGACAACTGATATTGCAATTTTTTACCAATGTTACAAATGAAGATTATCAGCATAAATGATGAGTAACTATATTGTGAATTAAATTATAAATAGTAAAAAATTAAACTATTAGTACAAACATTGTAAAATATTGCTACAGATATAACAAATTATTACCAATGTTACAAATTAGGATTACTAACAGCCCTGGTGGTGCAGTAGTTAAGCACTCATCTGCTAACCAAAAGGTTGGTGGTTCGAACCCACCAGCTGCTCCATGGGAGAAAGACATGGCAGTCTGCTTCCAAAAAGATTACAGCCTTGGAAACCCTATGGGGCAGTTCTACTCTGTTATATAGGGTCACTATGAGTCGGAATGAACTCAATGGCAATGAATTTTGGGTATGTTTTGAATTATAATATGGTGATTAGTGGAAACCATTATTAATGTGGTTAACATTCCAACTGATATTGTAAATAATTACAAATATTAAAGTAATGATTACTAATATAAATTATGAGTAACACAATTATAAATTAGATTTTAGTTACAAATAGAAATTACATCACCTTACTAGTAAATGCCATCAAATCTGATAAAATTTTACCAATGTTAAAATTATGTTTTCTCATATAAATAATAGTTACCAGTTTTAGGAATTAAATTACAATTAGATATCAAGATTGACCCAACATTACCAACTTGATTAAATAAACATTGCTACTAATATTACAAATTTTTACCAGTATTACAAGTTGTGGTCACTGATATAAGTTAACAGTGTGTTATGAATTAAGTTTATTGACTAATAAAGATTGACATTAGTTCTACTGAAACTCAATTTTTATATCATTATTACTATTCCACATTCTTTGAGAGTACAGTGGAGTGTGATTAAGATCATGAACTCTGTAGCTAAAATTTCTGTGTGTGAATCCCAGGTCCACAGTTTATTACCTGCCTAACATAAGAAATGTTACTTAAATGCTCTTTTCCTCAGTTTATCTATCTGCAAAATGTGGGTAATAATAGTTCCTGCCTCATAAAGTTGATGTGAGAAATAAATTATTTAATAAATATAAAGTGGTTAGAACAGTGCATCTGGCATACTGTAACTGCAACCTAAGTGTTGAAAAGTTCTCTTCTATTCCTAATTTTTTAAGTAATATTTGATTGTGTTTTCAGTGAAAGTTTACACAGCAAAATAGGTTCCCATTTAACAATTTCTGTAGAAATAGTTCTGTGACATTGGTTACATTTTCCACAATGTCTCAACATTCTCATTATTTTGTTCTGGTTGATCTGTTTCCATTAATCTAGTTTCCCTGCCTCCCATTACCTTCTCATCGTTGCTTTAGAGTAAATGTTGACCGTTTGGTCTCATATAGATGATTTTTTAAAGGAGCACATTTCTCACGGGTGATATTGTTTATTTTATGAGCCAGTCTGTTGTTTAGCTGAAAGGTGACCTCCGGGAGTAGTTTCAGTTCAGAGTTTAAAGGGTATCTCAGGGCGATAGTCGTGGAGGTTCTAGTCTCAACTGGTCCAGTAAGTCTGGACTTTTTAAGAATTTGAGTTTTGTTCTAGATTTTCCCCCATTCTATCAGGGTCCATCTGTTGTGTCCCTGATCAGAATGGTTGGTAGTGGTAGCTGAGCACCATCTAGTTCTTCTGGTCTCAAGGTAGATGAGGCTGTGGTTTGTGTAGGCTAGTTTCATCTTTTTTTTTTTTTAATTTGTTGTTGTTGTTGAGAATATACACAGCAAAACACACACCAATTCAACCGTTTCTACATGTATAATTCAGTGACATTGATTCCATTCTTCAAGTTGTGCAACCATTCTCACCCTCCTTTTCTGGGTTGTTCCTCTCCTAGTAACATAAACTCACTGCCCCCTAAGGTTCCTATCTAATCTTTCTAGTTGCTGTTGTCACTTTGCTCCCATACGGGTAGTTCTTAAAAGAGTATAATGTTCAAGGCAGACATTTTTTACTAGTTAAGCTAAATTATTGTTTGGTTTTATAGTTGCATTGTTTAGTCTTTGATTTCCTTCTTTCCCTTTTGCTCCAGATGAGCAGAGACCAACAGCTGTATTTAGACGGCCTCTCACAAGCTTTTAAGACCCTAGACACTATTCTAGGATGTACAACATAAACTTTATGAAGTATATTATGCCAGTTGACCGAGTTATCCCATGAGACTGTAGTCTTAACCTTCAAACCCAGTAAACAAATCCCATGAGGTGTTTGGTTATGTCTAAGAGGTATCCATAGCTGTGCCCCCTATGTGCTTTATTATGTACCTGAATATATATGCAGCATACACATACATGTATATACATATGCCTATAGTACACCTATACATGCACATATATACACACACATATACCTACCTATACACACATATGCATACATACCTACATATGTAACCACACACATATTTTTTGGTTGTCGTTGCAAAATTGTATATGTTATAGCATTTACCAAAAATGTCCCTTTCTCATTCAAATATGATGGTGGAATTAGATCATTTTCAGATAAACAGAAATTAAAAGACTATGTAAAAACCAAACCAAACTTACATGACTTATTAAAGGGAGTCCTTCAATTAGAGAACAAACAACATCAGACAACAGGCTGAATCTAGACACAGGATTGTACTAGCCAGATACCAGTCTAGGAAATGAACTCTTAAGGACTAT